CTTGTGTCAGAACCATATGTCTCCAAGACCTCCATTCTTATATCAGGTGGTAATTCCTTGAGAACTGATTCATCTATTGAAGTTCTAGGTGATCGTGAGTGCGTGTGTGTGTGTGTGTGTGTTTGTTGGGGGAGGGGGGCTAACTCCATGCTAAGGACTGATAAATGAGTAATTGGAAGTCTCATAAAACTAAAACTTTGGTGTAAAAAAAATATATTTACTCTTGTACAAAATAATGACAAAGCATGTACAAACATACTTTACAATAAATAAGTATCAGTCCATAAAGTAAAACAAACATGGATGATGGAGTTTATCACATGATGCATAGCATCGCCACCCATATCAAGCCATAATTGCTTGCTTTTGCTGAAACTTGTATGCCTTGTAGCTTACTTAGCGGAATGGATCATTTAACTTCATGATGCACATACACAATAATTGTTCCTAATAATGGGCTATATATCATATACCAGATAGACAATGGAAATTCAATTTGCTCCTCTTAAAGAAGCCCACCCATTTGCAATACTTACCCTATCCTCATTAATTTCACCCATAATCTTTAATAGTATGGCCCAGGCACACATGTTCATTTCAATTACAAGCAAAATAGCTACAGGGATTTTACAACAAGTTAGACAACACACTTTGCGACTATTGGCTCTCAAAGGGTGTGAAAGGGTGAGCCACCTATGCATAGGTTCAACCACTTACTAAATACACTCTGACTACAGTAGAACTCTCATCCACTTCTGTATGTAATACAAGATGGTTCTACAATCTTAGTATAAGGAGAAAGATAATAGACACTAGAGAGTCACAATAGATTGTAAGGTATTTACAAAAAGAAAATGATGTGCTCCTGCCCTCTATGTTGACATAATTAGAGACAAGATGAACCTTCTGCAATACTCTGATTTAATTTTGAATCAGCTTTAATTATTTAACAATTGAAATACTACACATATTCCAAAAAACACAACTATTTCATTTTGAAATGAGCTTTTTATACAATAAAATTATAGAATTAGATACAAAACCTATATCACCTCACGACTGAAACCCAATGTTAGTACTGACATTAAGGCACAAAATACTTGATTGACTCATGCACATATCATGAACAATGATCAACTAATAGGTAAGTTATATAATTGTACTGTGTAATCACTATCAAAACAGACCTGAACAAAAATAGAAGTTTACAAGAAAATCCAATGTTGGGCCTTGAACATAATTGTTTACCTTTAGTCACGTACAACAGAACTACCGAAAGCTCTCTTCAGCAAAAATGTGAGTTTCCTTTAAAATTACAAAAAGGATAAAAGAGTAATACTTTGGGAGAGACAAACCATACTGATATCAGTAATAACCTTCACCGGCATGTTCAAGGAAGAGCAATTAACAGAACACAGGAAAAGTAAAACAAGTAACAGTTGAGACATAAATATTAGCTTAAATGCAAACCATCACCATATATCTAGAATATCCATCTCCTTATTGTGCTGTTCTATGGTTCTGAAAATGTAATTTTTGATAAAATTACCTAATGAAAAAGGCACAGTTGCCCAGAGCAGAACTGATAAGCTTTTTTCACCTCCTTCTGTATGTATCATACACATTCCAAGGATTAAAATGGAAAATCACTTTTAGAGCAGCCCAGAAAAGACATGAGCCTGGACATTGTAGAAAATTGGGGCTTTATATTATTCTGTCAGGTACAAACACTAATAGCACTTTAAACTCCTTGAATTACAAGTCATTGTCAAAGATAGAAAATATAAATGTCTTCTTTCACCATATTGAAACAAAATAATGATTGATATACTGAGAAAAATGTAGTGTTAACATAAGCAATTCAACAAAACTGCATATTAGGGTCTCATGACAAAAGCCTTCTTCAAACACAGGTGGAATTGAACCAAGCGAAAAAGAAAAAGAAAACCTGAGGTAGTATGAACTATGGAGACTTGAAAAGTATACAAAAATGATTCACAATACAGAATGGAAAAAGTCAGAGAGCACATTGAGGGGTGAATGCTCTACATACATTTATGACTTACACAAAAATGCAAAGGTTAAGGGGGTATTGTATACACAATTAAAACTGAATCAAAGAGCTAGACAGTTCACTCTTATCACACTCATTAATATTTGAGGTCAAATATTAAAATAATCACAATTGAAAAAAATTGGATCAAGTTATTACCTAGATAAGATCCTATCACTTTGAATTTGTGACCATGTATTGTAGAATGGAATTCTGCTTTGACTTGCTCGGGTGCCACTTCTCTAGACGCCAAGATCGTAACAAATCCGCTTGAACATTTTCAGGTAGTTGTTCAAAGACTACTGGGTCAACATCACTGGGCAATTCCCTCAATAAAGGACCACTTGTTGTTGTTGTACCACTAGCTGCTGCTTCACTAACACATGGGCCAGCAGATGGCTTGTCAGGACCTCTCTCATTTGATACGTCAGATGACTTACCCATCACTTTTTCAGTCGATTTCAATGAGGGTCTTGCATCAATTATCCTGACTGGACTACTCCTAATTCTAGGAGATCTATCGGAATCACTTGCACAGTCCATTGAGCAATCAGTAGATTCGCTTGTGTCAGAACCATATGTCTCCAAGACCTCCATTCTTATATCAGGTGGTAATTCCTTGAGAACTGATTCATCTATTGAAGTTCTAGGTGATCGTGATGCAAGGCACATTTCAGAAACTCTCAGCTTGCTAGGTGACATAAGGTCTCTTCCGCGCCAGCTATCTGCTCGGTTTTTCTTAGGAGAAGGTTCCAGCTCTGGCTCAGACTCTGAACCAGACTCATTGGGTACAAGAGATGGAGGTATCCTGATGATGGAGGAACCACTTCCCTCTCCCTCTAGGTTGGTTAAGGTTTGTACTGATAGGTCACGATCTCGCACAAGATAACTTGCTACTGACCCTCTTCCAATACCACGAGCACGAAACTTTGTAAATGCTAGTCCTAAGAGAGTAAGATGGAATGGTTGATTTATATCAACTATACGATGAAATAGCATCATTACAGTAGTCATCAATCTCTCAGCCTGAAGACTAGCTACATTGCACTGACGACTTTCACGGTGTGTGGTCCCCTTGGATCGATCTAACTTGCGCACTGTTACTCTTATTGTCGTTGGTGCGCGACCATCCTCTTCCACAAGCTTTAAAAGACGAGTAAGCAAAGTACTGAGCTTTTCCCTCACTTCACTTTGCAGACTTACTCGACGAAAACCATCTTCTATTCCTATTGATGCTGGTTTTCCTGAGGCTTTGACTTCAGAATCATCCACACCTAAGCTATTGTTTTTTAATCGTAGAGCAGTGTCGCTACCCAAGGCTCCCTTTAATGCAGGAAGAGGATGAGCTTGAAGCTCTGGCATACTTGTGACACCCAGCTCCTGTAATATGTCTGCAGTGCGACTCCCAACTCCAGGAAGAGAGCGGATATTTGGTAAGCTACTGAGGAGAGCTCTGACAGCAGGTCCGGGGAATACTACAGTTTGCTGATTTGGTTTGTGTGTACAACAAACTAGTTTTGCCATTAACTTGTTATGAGCTACTCCAGCACAACTTGTTAATTGGAGTTCAGTCCTAATTCTATCACGCATGTCTTTAGCCACTTGTGTTCCTTCAATCAAGCGTGCTCTACAGCCACAGCAGCATGAGCCATAATCATCATTAAAGACAAAAGGGACAGCTTCATTGTCCACCTCAATAGCTGAACCCGCACTACTGTCATAGTTTGCCTTGCGCAGCTCTAATCGTTTGTTGACAAGCTGAGTAACATCAACAAAGTTTTCATCAAGACCAAGTCGCTCCACCAGAGGACTGAACTGTTGAAGAATGGCAGTCACCTGCAACAAAGTCAGATAAAAGAATTAGACCTAAATGGTTAGCAAAACAACACAAGTACCCACATTTTCGTAGAACAAGAGATAGTTACTTGTGCTGAGGCATGTCGATATGGTGCCAGATCTTCTCCAACAACAAGTGAAATGTTGGGGCAGAGGCGAGTAGCATCTTCCACTAACATACACTTGCGCACCCCTAACGCACGAGCTTCATAGTTACATGTAACTACAATGTTTTTCTGACGAACACCAAGAGGTTGTCCAGCAAGAGATGGATTCCTTATTTCTTCTACTTGGGCATAAAAACAGTCCATGTCCAAATGAACTATGACGCGCGCATGACTGCCAGCCTCCATCTGCAAGCACAGAAATACAATTCTAATGAATATTAAATAACATCAATATTAAAAACCTTGAGTTCATATTGCAGCCAATAGCGAAAAATAATGAAATCTATGAGAAAGGGCCATTCCTAGACAAAAATGCCATAACCTCTACAACAATTTTATGATTGACAACCGCCACGCATTATAACATGACAGGTAAGGTTTCAAAGCAGCAACCCTGCAAACTAGGAACGTAGGGTCACTAAAAGTCGCAACAAAGCAAAACACCATCTTAATACCAAATTGGTACAATTTTTGGTGAAGACAAAGCTTCATACGTGGGCTGTGCGTAAAGCGAAATTTGGTGACAGATTACAATGTCAAGTCTCATGTGGTTACAGTTCATTATACAACTGCTCTTGTAATGATAACAAATCGTAATTTACATGAAATTACCTCGAACTAGTGCACGAACAAGAAGAAACTATTGCGTAAGTTATTGTTTAATCATACATTCTTGTTTAGACTTGTTCGATGTTCAGTTTATTACTCTAAGGGTACGTTCCTGGTTCCTTCGATTCGAACTGACCACTCATTCAAAACAGAAGGGAGATTTCGAACGATAGGGGGACGGGGGTGGAGGGGAGAGGGCGGAAAGGGAAGAAACAAGATTGAATGGAAACGTCAAATCGACAAATCATGGTAAAACGTGATATTGGTGATATCCATCGTCAGAAAATTTGAGAACTGTGTCCAAATCATTGATGAATGTAATGTTCCCTTTACTGATACAGAACGAAATCAATTCTGTTGGCACCCTTGAAACGTGATCCGGGCACATTTGGCACACAGTTCAAAACTGTAGTACATTGAGACTTCATGTGATCTGCTCATTAGTATTTGTTTGTTTCCTCCACGATAAATAGCTAATACTGATTTAGGAATCAGACTCATGTGTAAGTATCCGATAGCCGTTTCATTCGTTTGTTCATGGTTTGTTTAAGTGTGACAGTTGCAACATCACCCTCAAGTGACAATCGAGTACTATAGTGATCAGCATATGAGCATATGACATATGTTCAGAAACATTAGAACTAAGGCTAACTCACCTTGGACTAACTATTGTACTGATGTATTACTAGATGGTGAAATGGTCAAAAACACAGAAAGTACAAATCATGAATCATAGTTTTATTGATTAAGGTAATGTGGGATATGGTAAAATAAATTTCTATAAAAAATTACAGGGGCTCACTTTGATGCTTGCTTAACAAGCTTTAGTCAACTAACAAATGTTCATAAAATTCAGCTGTTGGAAGAAACTTAATTCATTAAAAAAAAAAATAACTTACATGAAACGAACCACACTTAATGCATGAGAGTTACAAATAAAAACATAATATATTAATTAAAATTTAATTGATCCTATATATCACAAATTTGCAAACTTAATTAAAAACTAGGAAATGCTGTACATGATGTATTGTCTAGATCTTTAAGAAAATAAATGAGTCACCAGATTTATGCTGCAGGGAAGTATTTGCCCTGCACTTGAGGTAGTGCAGATGAATTGGCATTATTAGTTGCAATTTCAAATGGTAATTTTTCCGTCCTGAAAGATAAGGATTTATGATTAATAGTTTTATTAGAAGCAATTGTGGGGGAAAAAAAACCACAGTGAAATTCCACTATTCCTACCTTGGTCGTTTTGATTCCCCAGTTATGCTATCAGCACTGAAATCCATCTCCATACTATTTTCCTATGAATCACAGAAGAAAAACACCATAAAAGAATCAGCATAGATTGAGAAAATGGGTGGAGAACATCCAAAACTGCATGAAAGGTGAAAACAAATTCCTTTGAACATAAACTGTTGATAAGATAAACAGAGCTATTACATACCTTACTCCTGTTGGTGCATTTGTTCAAAGTACATGAACAGCTATCAGAGCATGCAGCGCCAGTTTTTCGACAAGGACATCTCTGGCAAGTTCCTTTGCATGTGCAAGATGTACTTCCATCAGAAGTGCGTTTTACAGATATTGACTGCGACATGTTATCTGATACTGTTGTTTTTCTCTGAAAGATAAGAATGAGTAAACTTTAGGTAACTAATTGAAACTGGGTACACCTGAAAATATTGGGGTAGCTGCAAAGACTTACTCTAATGCTTTGAAGACGTTTAAATAACGGTGTCCGTTTCCAATCAGGATCGTTTTCATCATCATCATCATCAAATACCTCATCTTCAGTATCAGTAAAGGTAACGTTTAATGGAGACTTGAATAAATGTGTAGTCTTTTTCTTTTTGATTTCCTTAGGTGGTGTCTTGGGATCAGTGGAATCCTCATTGAAAGGACCATCAATACTATTTGAAGATTCTCGCTTACTTTTGTTATAAGCTTCCTTTAACATGTCTATTTGGTCGGTAATAGATCTCAAGTACTTATTCTCATCTTCAAGCATTTCAAGTTTCTTCCTCAGATCGGAATCAGTTTCAACAGCACGAGGATGCAGAGACCCTTTTTCAGCCTCACGTAATTTGTTAAGCAGGACTGCAACCTAAAATTAAAGTTCATTGAATATTAGTTATGTGGAAATACAAAAAGTTCACTAGATAACTTTGACACAAACAAAATTGTGTAATATCACATTTGACAAACCTTTTCTACAGATTCCTTCTCTAAAGTGAGTAATTCACTTTTGTGTTTCTGCTCAAGAGAGTTGAGCTTTTCCTCAGCAAGCTTAATTTCAGCACTCAACTTCTTGCAGGTTTCCTATCAAAATGAAAAAGTTATTTAGTGTTGCTACAGAAATATATTATTATCCAATAATGCTATGCCAAAAAGCATACCTCTAATTCTTCAACTGTATATTCCTTCATTGCCACATCTTTTTTAAACTCAACAGCGTTTTGAAACAGGTACTTTAGGGCGTATTTGGCATCCACCATTGATTGAATAGACTCCCATCTTGTTTTTGCTTTGTTCTCTGAAATAGTTAGACAAATTGGTATTTGAAAAAAAGATAGTGCTGGATAATATTATACTTGAGGATGTTTGTTTACCTTGGTCGGAATCAAGAATTTTCTGATTTATGTCTGCAATTTGAGCACTTCGCAGCTGCAAGTCTTCTTTGAGTTGCTTAATTTCATGTTTTACGCGTTTCTCCTCAACAGGGGACGCTGTTTTCAAAGACTCCTGAAAATAAACAGGCAAATCCTATGAAATCATCCTTGACGCTTAATGTCATAATTAACTTAAGACTTGAAACAAACCACAGCATTTTCCAGTTGTTGGCTAATAACAGCACGGTCTTCTATAAGCTTATCTCGAACTCTTACTGCTGCAACAGTACTAGCAGACACTTCGAGCTCTTGGGCAATCCATGCTTGAACTCTTTCTGGCTTACCAAGAGTTTGCTGGCGTTTTTCCTGACACTGCTTTTGAAGTAATAAGGCATCCTTAAGCCTTTTGTTTATAGCAGCTGCCTCTTCAACCTTACGCTTAAGGACATTCTGTTGTTTTGTGTGCATGTTTTCCATTCGATTCATGATGTTCTGGCGTTTGCGGTCTTGATCACGCAATTTATTCATCTCCTTCTCTCGCTGAAGTTTCCAGTCCCGAAACTGCTCACTCTCTTGCTTCATTTGACGAATCAATCGCACTTTCATGGACTTCATAGACCTTATTTCATTGTTCAGAACTACAACCTTCTCATCAGTTTTTTCCTTCATTTTAATTATTTTTGATTGTTCAAGAAGTTTCTTCTTTAAATCTGACATTTGTGCTTCCAGCTCTTGAAGTCGTTTGCGGCGTTGTTCAGCAATTTTACTAGAAGCAGTATTGGACTGCACTGATTTTAATTGTACCTGAAGCATGTCACGCTCTTGTTGGAGACTATTGATTTGAGATTCCAATTGTTTCATGTTCTCTTGGTGTTCTGGGTTCAAAGTGGTTATGCTGCTTGAGTTGGCCACCAGGGTAGCAGCCAGCTGTTCTTTAATAGCCAAGGCCCTTGTAAGTTCCTGAAGAATGATTCAGAGAAAATGTTACATTATGTATTAGGTAGTAATTTAAATTTATACTACTAGAGAAGAGAATTCGTGCAAAACAAATATAATTTAGTGTTGTGAACTGAATAAATAATATAAGGCAAAAAGACCTGAAGTTCTTGATTAAGGGCGGCTTGTTGGAATGTATGTGTTTCTTCCTGCTGATCAAATTCTGCCATGGATTGCGGAGTGAAAGGAGAGTTAATGACAATGGTTCGGTTCCCATCAGCAGATTGGTTGTTTTTGGCTGTCATCTCAGAAATCTCATGTTTCTTAATTTCCTCTTCTCCTTGCTGTTGCTCAGCCTGCACAAATAAAGATAATTGTGCTCAGTTTAAATGAAGATATTTACAAACTTTATAAAATGAAAAAAAAATAAAGACTGAGAATTTTGTTAAACTTTACCTGCAATTCCAATATTTTAGATTTGAGCTCTTTTAACCCAGCCAAATTACCATTCATGGAGGCGGAAGGTGACAGCTCTTTAGACTGATCAAAATTTTCAATTGTCATGTTACATTGAGCATTTAACTCTTTGAGTTTCACATTCATTCTGTCTCGAGCAAGTTCTGCCTGAAATTAGATAAGATTTTTTTTAAAGATGAGAAAGTACGTAATATGAACAGCTTGGACAGACTTTAAAATTATGATAGATTTCACATAGAATAGCTAATAATAAAAACATACCAACAATGCACGCTCCATGAGACTGGTGCTTTCATTAATAGCATTATTTAAAGCTTCAGTTAGTTTGCGATTTTTTGATTTGAGTACTTCATTTTCATTCTCAAGCTCATGGTGTTCCTTTGGACAAGTTCCAATGGTTCCACCATTACCAATAAGCTGAAGACGCAGCTCAGTATTCTGTATTAAGCAAATGGATTTGTTATGTGACAACTGAACAGAAGAAAGAATTTAATGAATTTCACATGAAAAACAATTCAGCTTTGTACCTCTTTCTGAAGACGGAGCATCTCAGCAGTTTTAGGATCTTGGTTTACGATTGGTTTGTTTCTTATATGACGTGCCCTATCCGCATAACGTAGAGTGCTCAGCGTTTCCTCACAATTGTAATCTGCAGGGCTCACACATGCCACCATCAGTGTAATTGAGTTTCCACCCAAAGAATCTGCAATACCAAAAGAAATACAATGAGTTTCTATACAGTTTCACTTGAAATCTAACATTTCACAGATATCAAGCACCCCACCTTGCAGGAGCCTTGTTAGTTTACTGTCACGATATGAAACATAGCCCTTTTGCTGTCCATCACCTAAGGCTGAAATTACATTTCCTAATGCCAGCAGGCCTTTGTTAATATTTACTCCCTCTTTAAATCTTTCACCTGTGGCACCAGTTTTTTTTGACCTCTCTGAACCAGCTAAATCTACCAAATTAAATTTTGCAACAGTGTCTCCTCCCCTGCAATAAAGAAAAATAAATAATTGAAGGGCACATGTATCTGCAGTGCACTGTAAGTTTGATTAAGCTAACCCATTGTTTTTATTGCACATCTGAATGGTAACAGTAAATATTGCATGGCTTCTTGATGACTGCGCATTCATGGCAGTTGCACCTGTAGCTCTACCAGTTGATCCCTACAATAATTTAGCAAGTGTTTAACTGAAGTAATAAAACCAGACAACTAAGCAAGAGTGAAAACATTTCAGTTAATAATACCATTCTGAGAGCATTGAAAGTATCTTCTGCATTAGATACTTCCATGTCAATAAGGCCAGGTATTCTAATACCTCCTCTTGTATCTTCCCTGATATCAACAATACACTGGTCCCTTGGTTTTGTATTGCAGGCAAGAAGATCAAAAAGTTGCTCTTTATACAACTGAAAAAAGAAAGTGTTTAATTGGTTTACTTGCAATATTCAAAAACCTGTTCTCAGACAGAAACTTCAATTAGGTAAGATGGCCTCCATGAATGTACCTCCATAAATGAAGTTGAAACTTTAAAATCCTTGTCATCAGTCACTGCAATGATTTCAAATATATCACTGATGGCACGGGGTATGATGCCCATTTCTCCTTCTCCAGAATAACAGGTACCCATTGAGTAGGTTTTTCCAGACCCCGTCTGTCCATAAGCCAGAATGGTAACATTGTATCCTGATGAAAAAAATAAAAATATAATATAAACAGCCAAAGCATTGAAGCAGAAAATTTGGGCGGAAGTATGGACTGAAACATAGCTACCAAGGGTAAAATTCAGATACCTTTGAATAACTGTTTCACTAGAGATTTGACGGAGACATCATACACATTGGCTTGACTCGAGTCTTGGCTGAAGACATAGTTATATGAGAAGGCCTTATCAGAACTCCTCATAACAACTTGTGGCTCATTGGGAATACAATCAAGGCACGGTTGACATCCTCTTGCCAACTCACTTGATGATAGCGGACGGACTCTGAGAGCCACCTTGATGGCATCATCCATCTGAAAATAATCAAAATCCTAATAAGAATGTTATACTTGTTTGGAATACTATTAAAACATTCAGTTCAATACAATCATAATTTGAATAGTTATCAGCAATTCAAGGAAATTCAGTACCTGGTTACTGGTACCTGTTGCATGACATTAGAAAACGGATTAAGCAGTTCATACATTAGTAGCAAGTAGGTCCATTCTAGCTCTGGTATCATGAGAAGTCATACGACAAAAGAAAACACTTTTTCACATCTCAAATGTGGTAACCATATAATTTCCATGAATTACTGAAACAATAGAACAGTACTAGGGCTAACCCCACGATATTTCAAAATATCAAGATCTTGAATAAGAACAAGTAAAGAATGGATGAAAACTACTGGGCTAAGAACAACACATTTTACATGACAAAAATACATATTCAAAAATAAGGAGTGGCAAGATTTAGTGACAATTTTATCAGGTCGTATGTGAAGCTGTAAAGCTTGAGCGGTAGTAAGGGAGCACGCCGATAGCTACGAAACCAACTAATCAAAACACTTTACCTTGGGCTATTCTGAGGAACGTGAAAAGTGCAGATTCCAAAGGTTCTTTAATGGTGCTCACAGTTCTAAACGCAAATTAAACCACAGCAGCCGTCTTCGACGCTGACGGACATGACACCAACGATACCTTGACAACTTTTTGAACGTCGCTTCCCGCTTCTAGACCGTTACAAGAGAAATTTCTCATTCTCATATCTAGTCTTCCCAGCGAAAGAATAGTGAAGTGCGAAAGGCGGATTCCGTGGCTCTTTTCCCCCACTACTCAGTTTCCTGTGGACTGATTGGTGAGAACTGAGTAGTGGGGGAAAAGAGCCACGGAATCCGCCTTTAGCACTTCACTATTCTTTCGCTGGGAAGACTATCGCATCCCGTGTCGACCTATCGAAAACTGTTCAATATGGAACAAGAAAAGCGGGAAAAGAGAAAACTCACTTTTTTCAAATCAAACAAATAAACGAGACTTGAGACGTGATGAGACATGACACTTTATTTACTGAAAGTTACATTTTCCTTTACTGTAAGCCGATGATCACTAGAGCGATGTAACTTGCCGATACTGCCAAAAATGTTAGTCGATCAAGAATCTTTGATAATTCAACGCTCTGTAACAGTCGAAAGGGTTTAGGTTACACACGCCAAGAACACGCTTTACGAAGAACGGGTTTCGGCAAAGCATCCCGCGCGTGTTCTGTCTAAATACAGGTGAATATCACAATGGCAGCCACCGGTTCATCTCAGACGCGTCAAACACTCACCTGTTCGTCGAGCGGCTTGAGAACGGGCGCGGTGACGGGCAGAAGCAGGATCGTCCTGAGCATGGACAACCCTCTGGCCATGGACTGCGACCAGGAAGACAAGGGCCTCGTCCTTGAAGCGATGCGCAGCGACAGCAGCCATTGAAGAGCCACCACCAGGAGCAGCAGCCCGACGTCGCGGTACACCAGCACTGTGGGGTCATGCAGGAGGGCGCCGCGATCAGCGCGAGGACGGCGTCGTAGCAACAGCAGCGGACACCACGAGTACGTACGGGCACGGGGCGTGGCGTCGCCCTCCAGGTTGCCGGCCAGCGTCGGCAGGTTCAGGAGGAATGCGACGTGGAGGAGGAAGGAGACGGCGAGCAGCGCCGGCCGCTCACCGCAGCCCGGGGGCAGCGCCACGCTGGCGGGGACCAGCGCCGCCACGGCGAGCACCGGGTGCACCAGCTCGGCTTCCAGCTGCGCGGGCAGCCGGCGCAGCACCGCCTCCACGTACAGGGCGCGGTCGACGTACAGCTTCGAGTCCAGGTGCTGCAGCTGCCAGGAGGCCAGCCGCTCGATCGGGGACTTGCCGTTGAGTAGCTCTTGGTGCCACTGGACCTAGAAGGTGGGGAGAGGCATGAGACGCTCAAGGTATCAAAGCACGAGAAACGCATTAGGCCTTTTGTTACTAGCTCCATAGCCCCCCCCCCTCTCCCCCGGTCTCGAAAAATCGAAATGTCCGCTTGAAAATGAAGGCGTCCTACACACTCACGACATCTTTGACGCTCAAGCTGTGCGTCAGGTTGAAGGACTGCCAGCTTGCCGGCTTGACGATGAATGCGCAGTGCACCTGGTCGCGGGGCCAGTCCTCGGTCCGGTACGGCGTGCACCAGCCCCGGAGCTTCGTCTCGCGGAACGAGCGGACGCGGTTGGTGGCCTCGACAGTCTCCAGGAGACCGAGGGCGGACTTGGCCGTGAGGAGGTGCTCGGCCACGCTGTGACACGACGGCGGCAATTCAGTTTCAATCACTACAATAAGTGCCATCACCAATGTGATTGACAGTGCACACTGGAAAAACAAAGGTGCAACTGCTGCACCACTGCCTATGTAATTGCACTAAAATTGCTGAAAATGGCACCTTTGTTTTCCCAGCGCAGTCGAGCCCGTTTTTTTGGACGAGCGCGATCGACTCACCCACTCGTTGTGAGCTCGGGCACCCACATATCGCTCGCGTTCAGGACGACCCGCGTCTCAGCTTTCGGCAGAAATGGGTCCTCCCAGTTCTAGTGCGGACGGGACGCAAGCGGACAGAGGGTGAGGGGGTAATCATTCAACATTGGATAAATCGCTGAATCGCGTTTTAACCAGTGTAACTCTCTCGCACAAGTCGTAAAACCTACCAGTATAATTCCAGCGTCCATGGTCGATACAGAAAAATCTCGGCTCTGCAAATTATTTTTTAAAAGGACTAACATATTATTTATATTAC